GAATGTTCAAGGAGCATTGAGTTCTGCGGGGGGACTGGAAGCGCATGATCACCGCATTGCTCTACTCACGCAAATGTTGCATGGACTAGGTGTTTCCATTGCCGTCCTTTCTGAACCGCGGTTTGCTGAAGGGATGCGGTGGCCTCTCTGGACGGGATTTCATTTCCATGGCTTGCGGACGCAGACACCTGGGTCTGTGGCCGTCTTAGTAGTAGCTGACTTGCAGAAAATTGTGCTTCCCATTTCAGATGTCGGTGATGCCAGGGCCGTCTGGTTGGAAGCTCGTGTCACTGAGGACAAGCCAGGCTTGTTGATTCTAGCAATGTATGGTCCCCCCTCAAACCACACTGACGCTGAGCGCATTGATTTCCTACAGCAAAGGCATAGTGAAATGCAGCTTTTGCAGGCGCGCGAGTGTTATCGCAATTGGGAAGTTATTGCTCTTGGAGACTTCAACCTTCATGACGGCTTGCTTTCTCACAAGGATAGATCTTTGGAGAAACCTGTTGATAGGGTCTTGAAGAATCTCCTCGTTGAGGCCGCTCCTTGGGGAATGAACCTTTTGCTGCGAGGGCCTTTTGATGGGCCTACTCATAAGTCAGGATCCACCATTGATTTAGTTTTTTCTTCTCCTAGAGTTTTGCCTGCTGTGCAGCAACTGGATCGCACAAGCCTCGATCTGCGCTCTGATCATAATGCACTTCTCGTCACGAACCTTGGGTTTGTCACTGTGTCAAAGAATTTCCTGGTTGGGAAATCACGCTGGTGCCCTCATGTTGAGGATTGGGACCGTGCTTTGTCATTGGTCTCTTCATCTCTTGCTTTTGTCATTCACTGGATCTCGGTCGTCCTTCACGACACCTTTATTCGCGATTCTGTGCTTAATGGGTCCCAACGTGCTCTTAGACAGGCTCTGGTCGACAGGGTCACATGGTGGAGAGCAGCACTTCTGGTTATGGCAGGCCACATGTCTGGCCTTGCTGTCACTAGTAGGGCAGATGGAGTTAGTGCCGGAACTGCAGAAAAACGGCAAATTGAGCAATTTCTGCTCAACTGGTTTGGTTGTCATTCCTGTGATGATCTGTCTAATTGGCAGGAAATTTCTGATTGCATTATCGGTTCCGAGGAGCATTCAAAAGTTCAGCGACTTCTGAAGCTTCAGCAGGAAAACCCAGCAAAGGCCCAGGCATTCTTGAGCAGTCTGTTGAAGCCCAGACTTCCGCTGCAGCTTGCCATTAGAGAAGATGGCACTGGAAAAATTTTATGTGATGCTGAGGTCCTGAACACATTGGATAGTAACATTCGCTCGCGACCCTTGGAGGCAGAGGCAGGTGATGAGGAATTCACCGCTGCAGTAAAGGAGCAGGTTCGCAAGTGTAGGATTGATGCTCAAAAAGAGGTGGGTGACGAACCGCATCTACATGTGTCACAAGATGAGCTTGACAACCACATCAACTCTGTTCTTCAAGCAAAGGCCTCGCTGCGATTCCCTCGCGCTGTGCTTCGATGTAACACAGCGTCAGTCAGACGACTTCATTGTTTGCTTTTAAACTTGTTTTTTGCCTTAGGGTTGGTCCCCAGCTGCTGGCTTAGAGAGATTTCGCCCGTCCGTAAGCGAGGACCTGCTGTAGTGAGTGATCTCAGCAATCTTCGACCGATCAGCTACACGGATGACCTCGAGACGTTGTTTGACCTCGTTTGGCTCTCACGGCAAAGGCAGGCACTTGAAACATATGCGGGCGCTGAGCAAGGTGGGGGTCGCGTTGATAGTTCACTTATTGCCTTAGGGCTGATTTTGGCCCTGCAGACCCGTTCTGCGTGGCGGCTTCCCTCGTTTCTTCTTAAGTCTGACCTTCTGCAAGGTTACGATTTAGCTTGGAAGGATGCTGTGTTACTACAGGCAAAGTGGGCTGGAGTCAAAGGCTCCTTTTGGCTTTGCCTCGACGCGTCCTTTGCGCATGACCAATGTAGGATCCGTTTAGGCCCCGTTTTGGGTAGTACCTTATTGCTCCTCGATGCTGGGCTGGGTCAGGGAGGCAGGCGCGCTGTGCATCTCTTCAACACTCTTACGCGAGGTCTCGCTGAGGAGGTTCTCAGTAGATGTGCTGGCGCAGCAATCGGAGCTAACCCTTTAATGGTTAGACCTTTCCTGGCCGCAACAGAGTTTGAGAGCACGCACGTTGCTTGCCGTCCTCCGCTTGTTGACAGAATCGCTCGCATGGCAATGGCATCCGTAGGTGCCTGTCTAGAAAATGAATTTGCAACAGCCATGTCTCCAAGAGCCAACCGAGTTGAAGCTTTGCTGACAATTGACACTGTCTCACCATTGACGCTCGCACTGGTTCAGTTCGTCGACGACGTTTTTTTTCTTCAGTCCACGTGTTGGGGACTAAAAAGGGCTTGTCAAAGCCTTGAAGACTTCGCGCGCTTGTGGCGGCATAAGTTTGCTTCTGGAAGAAAGGCCTCGACATTCTTGACGATTGGAACCACGGTGCCAGAA